GACTATTCGGTCACATTCTTCGCATTGAAGGTATTTTTTTGAATTAAAATCCGTAAACTTTTATATTACGTTTACGTTCATATCGCACACCACTTGCCCTAATCAGGTGATTTATTTATAGATGCCTGCATTCCCCCCCCTCATTATTTACTGCGTTCCAATTATTTTTCCAGCTTTACTTAAAAAAAGGCCTGATCATTTTTAAACCTATCCCCCCCCAATGCTCTTCTCAGCTGCCGGTGTTTTCTATGTTTTTTTTAGCTGACAGAATAATAGAGCGACACTTGAAAAAGGTCAAGTAATTCGCTGATTACATTCTAAGTGAGGTCGCTCACCCTCTTCACTCTGAACTAATGGCTGCGAAGTCCTCCCGCGCCGAAGCTTCTGTCATATATCTTGCCGTACATTGGCATATCATCACTCTATACTCCCATTCCTAGCAGCCTACCTCACGTGTGAAGAAACGAAAATTGAGAAGTTGAAAGCCGACCTGTCTCCATAACAGATGTGGATATCGTGTGAACCTTTAACCTTGAGTATTGTATGACCTTTTGCCTTACCTCATCCCTTGCTCTCCGTGAAAAGAGCCAGTTTTTGCGGAAAATTTTGGATATTACCTTCAGAATAAAGCATTTCTCTGTCTCATACGAAAGTGTAGTTCACCGAAATGGCGACACATCAAGATTGCACCTCGCACATTCCACAACTCCTCTGCCATCTCCAGCACTAGCAACTCATCATCCTTCAGCTGGGTCACCACGAGTAGTTTCACTACCACAACTGACTTTACAGCCCTAAAACTACCCCCTCCACACTGCCACAGCACATGCACATCACGCAGATTAGATCCGAAGAGCTGAATTTTATTTTGGGAAAACCTGATGTGTTGTTTGGGGCCCAGGCTGCGTTTGGCATGCATACCCGGGCCGTTTAGCTTGATAAAGCGCTGGGCGCCATCTCAGCATCATTCGGTCGACAGGATCGAACAATCGACGGGTGCACGGAATTTGGTTGATTTGTGTGCACCATTCAGATCTCCCTGACGTCTAAGAGTGTCGTCAGACTGTCAGTTCTGCAAACCCTGAATTTCTTCCAGATAATGACACGGTAAATGCAGACCTTATTTTATAGTTTGCTAAAGGCCTGGTTAACTTTAGGAATTCGAACCACAATCTCTTCATCGATCAGAAGACAAATCGGCGAACACACGTTTGTTTACGATGGGTTATTAAGCTTGTTCAGGACAGGTTATTTGTCTACCTTTGACAGCAGCACAAAGATAGTGCTCTTAGCAGGATTCCTCTTCAAGGGCTTCCTATTGCGTGTCACTATTTACCATCCCTGTGAAGGCGTAGTCCCTGTAGGTGATATGAGTCCCTGCAAGTATGGAGTCTGAAAAGACCTTTGCCGATTCCATGGATCTAACGGACAAAATCTTGATGGGATTGATTTTGATAGTGAATGGGCCTGTATCGCCTCGATACTCTTCATTTTGACGTTCATCCCAGTACATGAACCTTGCAGCAATCCAAACCAGCCATTGTGGTTCTGAGAAGCTTGTCTCAAAGAGTGCGGTGAGGTCCATAATGCAACGAGGAGGTTTGCCTGGTACCAGAGCACAGTTCTGTGTTCCATCGTACTTTGGATTATATAACCGAGATCTGTTGTTGTTCCGACCACGCCTTTGCTCGTATGTTGACTACATAAACCATGAGCGGGTGGGTTGGACATGATTGTAAACATTCTCTGCCACCTATTCTATCCCCGTTCATTTTCGAGGAAATGAGCAGTACACCCTCGCAGAGAGAAGCTGGAGCATCC